TATATTATGTGATACTGTTTATATTAAATTCTATTGTATATTTCTAGGTTATATTATGTGATACTGTTAATATTAAAATTCTATTGTATATTTCTAGGTTATATGTGATACTGTTAATATTAAAATTCTATTGTATATTTCTAGGTTATATTATGTGATACTGTTTATATTAAAATCTAGGTAATATTATGTGATACTGTTAATATTAAAATTCTATTGTATATTTCTAGGTTATATTATGTGATACTGTTTATATTAAAATCTAGGTTATATTATGTGATACTGTTAATATTAAAATTCTATTGTATATTTCTAGGTTATATGTGATACTGTTAATATTAAAATTCTATTGTATATTTCTAGGTTATATTATGTGATACTGTTTATATTAAAATCTAGGTTATATTATGTGATACTGTTAATATTAAAATTCTATTGTATATTTCTAGGTTATATTATGTGATACTGTTAATATTAAAATTCTATTGTATATTTCTAGGTTATATTATGTGATACTGTTAATATTAAAATTCTATTGTATATTTCTAGGTTATATTAACAGTGTCACCTAGAAATATAAAATTTTTAACATCACACCATTTTTAATTGACTTTCCATTGGTATTTTTTATTTAGTTTTAAGCTGTGAAAGAAAAAAAGTTTGAAAATGATTCATACAATTTACCAGATAAAACAACTGGTGGAAATAAAATTTAATTCCAAATAAGACAAAAAGTGATTTAGATGATGTTTCTGATCTTTAATTTCTTTTTAAGGATTGATCATTTATCTATATTATGACAAAATAACTGCATTGTGTAGTTAGGTTACAAGGAGAGAAAAAGACATAAGCAATAAAAATATCTGTGAAATGAAGTCAGTAATTTACTGACAACTAATTTGTTGCGGTGATGTAAAAATACAGGGAGTATATAGAATCCAAGTCAATCTTATAAATTGATATTGACATTTCCACGCTACTGCATATTACAAGTATCATTTTACTAATGGTTGTCTTACTATTGGTATTGAACTCTGTTTATCTAACAGAAAAAAATCCTTTTGCTTAGTATTCATAACACCAACGTCAGGCAATTTCACTCACATCATCAAATAAACTTTTTATCAAAGTAGGTTACTGTTCAATTCTTCGGACAGAAATGATGTAAAATCAATCATCATTGACGTCTTGCTGTTCAGGCCTCCTGAGTTCATACACAGATCCACAGAAAGCTGCTTGAATCTGGCAATCTTCCACTAGACAGCACAGATTACTGCCTAATCTTCATTACAAAATGTCTTAGGACAATGGGTTTAATGTATTATGAAACTATTGAAAGTATTACTCTACATTTATGATAATATTTTATTTTTAGGTCTTTGTTAGAAGTACTAAAAATGTTCATGTTTACATTTCCTGAATACTGCTTTAACCCTATGCCAGTAATTCTGTTGAATTATAACTTGTTACCTTTCAACCACCCTAACCTCTAACCTAGATATGTTACTAGTGAAGATTGAACATTCATCTATAAAATTGTATTAGCAAACTTTGTCTCAAAGTATTAGAGGCTACATTTTCATACATATGCATAAAAGTGTGTAAATATCTATGCACTGACGACCTTTCCATTTCCTCTGCTATCTATTCAGCATATATATACAGAAATTACTTGTGGCAAATTTAGTTAGAGAAAATATAGATACTGAGTTCATTATTTAAATCAAATTATCCATTTTGAATAATTTAGCCATTTAACTTTACACTACTGAGAGATTGTAAATCGTGCTTTACAAGATTTGCTACAAAATCTCTACTTTCAATTGAGAACTAAAGAGTGATATATAATGAAAATATACTAGGACTGGAGTGTTTTAATGTAAATAATACAGTCAAGCTCTATTAGTCTCTAGAGAATAGACATAAATGGTGCCATTATTTCACAGACTTTTTCTGTACCAATTTACATACCCCAAGATAAAAATTAGAGCAATTTTATTCAATAATGCCTTGAACGAATTCATGGCTTCGTTAGCTAATCTACATTTTCTATCATCGATTTGACTTTATTATCTTGTATAGAATATAACAGGGATTATGTTACATCAAGCTAAAATTCAATAAACTCACAGTTGCTTTATTCCTTAGAGAATAGCTCCGCTGTTTGTAATGAAAGAAATAGGTCTAGAAATCTTGTTTAGATGTTTTATAAAGTTTCTCACTTCAATTCCTATTTCAATTTAGGTTAATTATTTAGATTTTTTCTGGACTGAAACTGTGAAGAGAGTACAGTTATTGAATTTCTCTAGTTCCTACTATTACCATGAAACATGTCTCAGAATATTTTCATCACATTCTTTCTTTTAACTTTCTTAATTAGTCTGTAACACCCAATTGAAATAATCTTTAAAAATCACTACAAAATTCCTCTGTTCAGTTGACTGTTCTATAAACTTCCAGTCTAATTTGGTTCCAAATGAAAAATATTTTTACCTTCAGTTGTTTTTATAAGTATCTTGAAACAACCTCCCTTATATTTCTTTCTTTTTATAGTTTTTTTTATTCAAAGTTGTTCTTTCATTTCAATTGTTTGTTATAAAATCAAATCAATAAAAACTAAGTTTCTTTTCATTTGAAGACTATTACCAGCATAAAATTTAATAGGATTTTTTTTCCCCTTTGTTTGAAAAAGCGGCAATCTTGTTAAGTGAGATTTTATCAAGAAAAAAAGACATTATTTGAAATAAAAAGTGAATTTTTCTTTTACGGTACAAAAAGATTTTCATTGATCCTGAGATTTTAATGTTGGTAGAAAAAATCCTTCAAATGGATTAAGAGCTATCATCAAATTTTCTTCAAATTGGTTCAATCACAAATCAAATTCATCGACTTAAAAAAAGATACAAATTTATCTTAGAACCAATTTATTTTAATGTCTAAAAAATCTCCCCCAATTTGAGTTTTTTATTTATAGTAAGAAAGGAGGGGATATTCAATGAAATCAATGCAATTAAGACGTGACAAGACCAAAATAGACCAGATGGGACGTTAGGAATGAGTGAGAGCTGACGCAAGAAAGCAATTAACTTCTAACGAGAATTCTCTTGTAGAATTTTCTGGGTGACATGCCACTTGAGAAAAATGAAAATAATTGCTCAAGGGTTAAGAAGAAAGATCGTCAATTACTTGAGTTGCTGTCAGACATAGAAAACAAAATACCCAGTAAAATGATGTAAAGAGTTTTTATGGTTGTTAAATGATAGAAACAATTCAATAGGAAGATAAGATTCCACTTCATCTTTTGTACAGAGAGTGATGTTTTATTATTCATAAGATAATGCTAGAATGTTATATTACTCTAGACTTGTAATGTACATGTTATAATTAATCATATAGTGTCAAAATAACATCCAGTCAGACATCAAAACATACGTATATTAACTTAGACACAACCAGATTTGTAAAATAACTTTACAATAAGTCAAAAAACCTAATTTTCAGGCTTTAAGTACGTTACTTTACAGATAAAAATATAATCTGGTTACAATCTTACCTTAAACTCCAATTCTTCTTTAACAAATTTGGAGCGGAAATCTGCAAAGGCTCTTTGAAAGAAACCTTTGGGTTGAAGTAAGAAAGCAACTTGGACATGGCACGGAAAAAAACCCTGAAAATAAAATGCATATATGAAAAAGTAGTCTAAACTGAAGATTTCAAAATATTATGCAGTAACCAAACTTTTCAGTGCAGCACTGCTTTTCTGCTATTCAGTTGAAATTATCTTGCTTCATTTAATCCATTTACTCTTGTCTTGAAGGTAGCACAACAGTTTATAAAGCAATGATACATACTGATATTTTTAATAAAATAGAGCGAACAGCTCCCCAACCATCATTACGTCTATCAATAACAACAACAAAACCTGTCTCTTTCTCTGCTCTTCTGTAATAACAATAAAATAATGATAAAGATTTCATTTATAGATAAGTTTAATTGGTTTTCTTATAATTAGTTCTACTTAACATGTACTATTTCTAATATATATATATAAAAATGAAGTATAGTAAAGGTCAAATTTGATGGTTACCATGAGGCAATAATACAAAATAACAATGATCGTACATTAAATAGATGCAAAATAGAACAGAAAGAAATAAGCCAATTATGTTTTAATGATTATTGCATGTTTTTGTCTGGTGAAATAAAGACAATAGATTTTATGTCATATTGTTGTTAAGTCAGTAATAAAACCTATAATATGTATTAGACTAAACTGATATTGATATTCACAATACTATGACTCCTGAGATTTCTTGATGCTCATCACTTCCACTAGTCCGAAACTTATACATTTTATATATACTTTCTTTCATTAACCCCACTGTGATTACCAACTGTACTGTTTTTATTAATCCAATAAGCTGGTAGAGTTAGGGCATAACACCCATTTCAATTCTTGTCTTGTCTCAGATATATTTTGTGACAGGTGTGGGTCATGCAGAGAAAGACAGTTGTCTATTGTAACTATGGAGATTTGATTTGATCTTTATAGGCCTACATCACAAAAATTGTTTGACAAACAAGAATGAAAAAATCTGTAAAAGTGTTTAAAAAAACATACTGTAGTGATTGGAGACAAGATATGGATAAAAAGTCTTCAAACTGTAGAATATAAAAGCAAAACAAATTACCAATACAGCAGGACCAAGTTTAAGCCAAAAATACAAGCGAAAAGTACTATAAGAGGTTACGCATGAGTTAAAAAGTTTCGGACTACCATATTACAAACTGTCTTCAATCTACCAAAAATCAATATCTTATTATGACCAAAAAAATTAACAACTAACGTAATTCTGCCACTTCAGGTCTTCCTGTATTTATTCAAGCACACAATATTTTAAATTTATAGCCCTAATTTGATTGACGATCAATGATTTTGATGAATCCATACAGGATATGTGAAATTACTCAGGAATTGGTTAATAAAATGACAAGTAAACTATAGGTTGAGTGGTTTAAATGAGGAAAGATAAGAAAGATTAGGTATGAAGAGTTTTATAAAGTAAAGGATGAAATATCAATAGAATATCAATGATGGTGTCGAAGTCAAGCTCTTATCATAGAGGAAACTTTCCTCTAACAGCATGCTAAGAATTTGGTTTCTATGTCACTTTTTTGTTTTGACTGTTATATTGTTTTGACTGTAGTATTGTTTTGACTGTTGTATTGTTTTTGACTGTTGTATTGTCTTGACTGTTGTATTGTTTTGTGATATTGTTTTACTTGTTGTATTTAATTTGCAATTGGTACATGTAGACTCTCCATCATTTTTTTTCTTACACGAGAGCCAAATAGGTAATTTCTGTATTGTCAACTCTGCATTTCCATTTTGGAGAGTGCACATAACTAATAAAGTACATAAGGTATTTCTATGTAAACCTTCAGTTTCATATACAAAACATGACAGATTATGTTGCTAGACTTATTGGTATCAAAATAATAGCTATATTGCCTAAAATTATAAAAAAAAATGTCAATTAAGATTCAAATAAAAGAAGATGTCATAACTGAATTGTACCATCAATCTTCTGAATTTGATAGTTTTGAATTCTTCGTCTATTAAATTATCTGATGAAATGTCTTGTAGTCAACTAGATTTCTACAGATTCAGCTCTTCAACTTCTACCAATCAATATTTCAAATTAGTTAAATGAAGTCTTAAGCACTCACATTTCAAATAGAGTTTTATTATCTGACACTTGACATACAAATACACACATCTTTCTTCTAATCATTAAATAGAACTCACTGGACTGCACTACTAACATTACCATAGTGTAACCACTAGTTAGCTAACCTGGCCCATTTCTTAAAATGTTTTTTTTTTATACAAGCAATAGAGCTTTTTTCAGTTTCCAACACAGCAGAGAAATAGGGCAATTCCAATGGCCTGTAGATTTCAGAAAATTATTGAAGAGCTATATGTGTCCTACCCAGAACTGTACAAGACAAGGTACGTAGATTGACTTCATTAACCAAATCAGTTGCAGGTCTTCTGTTGAAAACTTTTTGTGATTTGTACAAGTCTAGCATTTACATGAAAATGGAATTTGAATTCAACAAAGTATATCAGTTAAACTGTCTATAGTCCAATATTCATTTGATGTTTTTCAATAAAGATGATTTATCAAATCGATAGCACTCAGATGCATAAAATGATAGTGATCAAATTTTTTTTCTTGCAGATCTCCACTGACAAAAAACAAATTTGATATAAAGTTAATACGAAAACATATCAGTTCATGTGAAATGTAATCATTTAATAAATTTCTCAAGCATGAATCTCGAAAAATGTAAAAAAAAAATTCTTTAATTCATACAGAACTTTAATCTGTAGTTTGAAAGCGAAGAAATTTCACTCACCATCAAAAGATTCCTAAAAGAAATTTCTAAAAATAGCCAGTTAATTTCTAAATCTGTATAAATGATTTAACTTCCAGACATAAACTCATCAAGGTCAAAAGGCAATTCACACATCTTTTATTTCTTTGATAAATTTCATCCACATTGATTTTGTTGGAAGTGTAGTGTAATAATTGGGCGTCATAGAAGAGTATACTTTCAAAAGGCACGCAATCAATTTTCTAAGTGCCTGAAGCAGAAGTTTATTTCAGAACTGGAGGAAAACGAACATCTCCAGTACAACTCCATTATATTGTAAGGTTTACATAGCACCAAATTTCTAGCGTAAATCAAGCAATTCCTATTACATTTATTGATCTTCTAGCATGCTGATAAAATACAAGATTTGTTGGAAAAAGTGAAGAAAACAAATTCCTACTGACTGTAAAGTGGAAGTGAACTGATTTGATTTTTATTTTACAAATTCTTGCATTTAAATTGCTGTTTATTGACGCTCTATCAAACTCAAGGTTGTTTAAATCTTAAGATCTGTTCCATCATCCGTATTGCTTATTTTGAAGAGAAGCTTTTAGAAATTTCTATTTTCAAGAAGTTACAAGCACTTTTTTGAAATTTATGAAGAAGCTCAACTATTTTGATTGGGTCAGTTTACATCTTGTTTTTCTGTTTTAATATTATTTTCTTTGAAAAGTTCTCTGTAGACATGTTGACTTTTTGCATCATTGTATTGATTTTGTATTTGAGCAAGTTATCTTAAAGAAAACTCTTTGGAGATGCCTATTTCATTCATAAGAAAACAATAATAATAGTCAGTTTCAAGGATATAGAAGGTGTAAAGTATTTGTCAAAGAAATCCTGAATGTCTCAGGTAACTCTGAGAACTCTTATATATTTCACAAACATTTTTAAAAGCATTAACCATTATATAGTAATGGCGGGTGTCACACACGAAGCAGACCATGCTCACTCTTTTTGAAACACCTGATAGAACTCACAAAGTTATACTGCATAGATAAGTAATGAGTTTTTTATATTCTTCATCTGGTACTTCTGGTTCATTAGGTCTATCAGCAAATATTAATATTGGAGCACCATTTTTAGCCTTACCACCTGAAATATAATAATACAATACATGTGTACAAGATAACATTTAACCAGAGCTTTGTACCATACAGGTTAGCTGTGTTAACTAGGTTTTACTTCATTTATTTATCTGAGCACTAATTACTGTTGCTAATTATGTCTCAGTCTCTTTCTTGCCTTCTGGTTGGTCAATTTAGATGTCCTTGAGGTCAATGTCAGTAACCCAGTATGGATACATCCAAATATATCTCACGAATTCAATACATTAAATTGATCTCAATTGAGTTTTCTTCTTGTTGATTTTTGAAGATAACTACTTTTCATATTTAGTACTATTCTATCTTCAGCAATTTACAGAGTTATGTTGATTGTATTCTGGTTTTGCCCTGAGAGGGTGTAATTTGCCATAGTAGCCATTTATGTTGACACATATACATATACAAACCATTCATTATATCATCATAGTTATTCAACATTAGAAAGATTTTGATACCATCATCATCATCAAGTTAATTGCAATTAATCAAGAATCAGATGTTGGTCTCAGCATAATTGGTGTGTAAACTGTAATTTATCAAATAACTTGGTTTCAATGGTTTGTAATGTTTGCCTTCTTTTTAATCTCAAACACATATTCTGCTGTATTATACAACCTTTTTTGCCTAAACTATAATTTATATATTTTACTTAGTTATAAATTGCTTATAAGTAATGGTTGTATACCTAAGGCAATTGATATTTAGAAAGATAATGTTATCTATTTATCAGCCAAAATATTATTGGTATCCTATTCTATATCTATAATTCTAGAGAATTTTGTAAAACCAACTGAAATTTCAAACCTAAAAAGAACTTGTATTTAGAAAGATAATAGTATCTATATCATCATCATCTAAATTATATAAATTTCTAGATCTATAATTCTATAGAATTAAATCATATATTTCAAACCGATAAGTGACTGTTATATAGAAGAAAAATGGTATCTATATCATAATTTAAAATATTATTGATATACTATTCTAGATCTATAATTATATATCATTGTGTAGGGAAATGAATTTAATTACTAGGGAGTGATTAGAGCAAACGGAATCCATAGAGAATAATTTTTCATAGACATTGTAAAAAGTTCCAGACATCTTTAAGAATTATCTCTCTACCGAACAATAGATTTTTTTACTCTCAAGGATCAAAAGGTTATAGACAAATGTCTATCATTCCTTAATGAATGTCAAAAATATAACAGCGAAAATTGAAATATATGAGATATTCTCCATGCCAGACCATTTATTACCCAACATTAAATTCCACTAAAATAGACATATTGTAATTATAATGAGCCTTCTCAATATAAAAGAATTACAATTTGAAATTTTGAAAGAATTAAATAGGTCTATTTGAGAAAAACTGATGCTAATGAAGGTAGTACGTCATGTTAAAAATATAAAATCAATGATCAAGATATTTGATGCCTTCTAACTTCAACTAGATTAGAAATATAATAGTATAGTTTTTCTTAGATAATATCTTATTACTGAGACATGTTTGAAATCCCTTATCAGGACATCCATAAAAAAACAAAATCTATCACAAGAACAAGAACACATCAAATAATGTTTAAGGAGGTAGACTAAAAGGTGAAACAGTGAGCTTACCATTTCTAAAATCAGTTCCCAACTTTTGGATTATTCGTACCACCACAACATTTTGAAAATGTCAGCCATAAGCATAAATTAAGCAGTCAATGTGAAAGAAAACCATTCATTCAAAGCTTGACATTTAAACAATATCTTTAAGACTTCATAAGTACACCCTGAGGTTTTCTCATTTTTTTCAGTGTTTAAATATTCTTTGATGGTGCTGTCAAAGTTAATCTCAATCTCAAAACTCATTCAGAAAAATTAATGCAGAAAAAGCTTACCTGTTAAAACAGCAAATTTAGTTTGAAGAAGATTAGCTACATCTAATACACTGTAAGGACAGGTTGGCTCTGTGGCCATGACATCACCTGAAAATACATCAGAATAACATATTATAATTCATGCCACCTGACTATTATATCTCAGATCATAGACAACAGCTAACATCACATACTTGTAATCACATGTACCAGTTAAGACAAATTCTGTGGTTTAGTTCTGATTTATAGACTTTAGGGTTCCATTTTGCTAATGTACATTTTAGGATAGATTGTGTTGTGTCAGAATGTCTACAGTCTTCATGAGTAATGTATTTGCCATTTTCATGCATAATATCAGAGCATCAAAGTGATTGTAAAGAGCTTTTCTACATTTCTTATATGTATTGGAAACATTGATAACATCAATTTACAAATACCAATTTTCAGTCAGACATATTGGTTCCTGTAATTCCACTAAAACTGAGTGTTTGACGTCACTAATTGCCAAATATGCTGTATCACATAAGGCCTTCACAATTAGTTAGCGCAATTGCAGTAACCACAGATTTATATGTTTGAGATTCTAATTCAAAACTTTGTAAGGACAAGAGCTGATCTTTTAATGAGTGTATTTAAATGTGTAAATCTTGTAATGTAACACCTGATGTATCAATCTTTCACCCTATTTAAAAGGTCCATGTCAGTCCTTCCAGCCAACCTGTGGAAAGATATAGTGATGAAAAGTTCTTTGAGAAGCCAGGAATTGGACCTCCAGGCTAATGTATTACATAGAGATTTCAGGTATCACATTTCATAATAGGAAAGCTAATAATTACTAGAATTGGTGATTAAAATAAATCAAAGCCCAGAATTTACTCAAGCTTTTACCATACTGTCTCCATTTTCTCTGATATTCATCAATCATTCTCACAATATAATCAACTTAAAACATTCACATATATATTGAACAGTACTAGTCTCTACAACAGTTTACATCAGTTTATTATTTACTTAGAATATTATGTCTATAGCCTAGATAGTTGTTGTGACATATTTATACTTGTAAATGGACACTGGCACAAATATGGAAAATGGTATATTCTCCTACTAGTTGAAGTGGTAATGGTAAAATATAGCCACATTGACTATTGAACTCAAACAAATTCAACAAGCAGTTGTCAAAAAGGTATATAATTCCATGCATTGGGAAATAATTTTGAGCTTTGGTTGATCAAAGCTTAGTAACTTATTTCATATGTTAATTTCTAAGTGCTATCTTTAATTGTAAAATTCATGTTGCCGATATCATTATTAAAGTGATACTACATCTTAGAATTGAATTAACATGAAATTTAAGAATTTTAAACTTGGCAAATAAGAGTCAGTAGCTATACCTGGTGTCATAAATAACATAACAGGATCCTTATATAATCTGATAGATCCAAAAAACTTAGTAATTATCCATAAATATGCAATTAACTATTGAAAAACTCTTAATCTTGATATTAAGCGTTTTTCAATAATTACTTAGTTTTATGAATTTTCAAATTTTCCAGATTTTACAGGGATTCTGTTGTAACTTTTTGACACCAGGTAAGCTAACTGATGAATATAGACTATTATTGACCTTTTCGAGAACTTAAATTTTATGTTCATTCTAAGATGTAGTATCACTTTAAACAAGTATATTTTTTAAAGCCCTTAAAAATATCAAAATATACCTGAATTAGTCTCATAATATACCATTTTCCTAGGAATTGTACGATTCACAGAAGTTTTAGTTATATGTCGACTGGAGTTAGAAATGACACTGGTAAAATCTACAGTTATAAATATCTATAATAATTATTAGATTGTCTTGTTATAAATAACTTTCAATTGAGTCACAAATTAAAACAGAAACCATTTAATATCATTCACAATTTTCCCATTTTACTTTCTAAATAATCTGGTATTTGTATGAATTATGTCAGTAAGAATTATGGTGTTATTAATCGAGTAAATAATCAATATCAACCTACGATCAGGTATATCTTTTATAAATACATTTATATATAGTATCAACAACAGATGTTCATATAAAATAATAATTAATAAATAATAATGAACTCCTGCAGTCAATATTCTTTATCAGGTCATTGGCACAACTTCAAGATGGACACTCCTTTTTCAAATTTTTTATAAACAAGACAATAATAAAACATTTTTTGAAGAGTGATGACTTAACCCAATGAGTTTCAGTAAAAATGGAATTCACATTGGTCACTCATAATAGTCCTCTCCTCATTATAAATATTAACAGTGGAAAACTTAATTTCATATTTATATTTGCTTAAGAAAAAAAAAACCTTGAAAAGGCTTCTTATTTCAAATTTGTTGTTTTTTTTGTGTATATGGCTTTCATCAATATTTTAACATGTTCAAACATTATCAATTTATAATTAATAATCACTGTTTGATTTATTATTTTAGATACATCTCATCCATATTTAACATTATTAACCTATTGACTACCAATAGTCATAGTCACACCAAAAAGAAAATATCTAACCTTTACAGGAATTCCTTAGATGGTTGTTACACTGTGGTTTCAGATGTTCCAGGTAAAAATATTATTTTACAGTCATTATATTTGGTTATATATAAGAGAACAAACCAAGTACAAATTCTTGTGGTCATAGAACAATACTGGTAATAGGAAAGTGTACTATATAAACCAGGTTACCTTATGAGAAGGTTGTTTCAAGAAACTGTCACTCTTCCATTTATATCCTTATAAGATCTTGTTACATTATATCATGGTCATAAAAACATCCCAAAATAAATACAGAATTAAATCCTTGTATTACTGAACACACTAAATAAAATAGAACTTGTTTTATATCTGTATTTACATATATATATACATAATAGGTAAAATTATACTGAGTCTTATTTAACATAGGAGAGTATGTCACACTGTTTATCACAGACACTCTATAATTCTTTAATAAGCAGGTCTAAGATAGGTCAGTTCATTGTAACAATAACCTGAAAATGTCAAAGGTCATCTGATATTTGGGTGAGATAATCTAACGATAATTAGTTCTTTATCATTATCTAAAAGAAAGTAATTTAAACTATTGTGTTTATAGATTAGAAGACCATTTCTTTTCAGTGGGTGTGGCCTTGATAAATCTATACATGTTTAAAAAAGGAACAAGTGTAAATATGCTCTAGAGGTGAAACTTAGGCCTCCTGCTTTAAATTATGCCACAATTGGATATACACCTCCATATTTACCACAAATTACAATTGATGATCTACTCCATTTCTTTGGGGCAGTTATACCTTATCACTAAAGGTTATAGTCAACTTTGGTCAGAATGGTACCAAATATTTCTATATGATTTCAAATAAATCTTGGGTCAAAATGGCCCTCGAAAACACCGTCATGCCTGTGTTTTTGTAACATCAAAATAACTACCATGTTACAAGCAAAAATACCAATTCTTGTTTTCTACATAAATTAGAATTTCTTCAAATATTGTTAAAACTTTTAAGAAAAATGAATATTGATAAAAGAGATAAGGATTATAGGATTAACACACTTCTATTAATCTTGAATCAAAACAGTGTTTCTGTTAGTCAACAAGGTGTGAAGAAAACAGAAGTGTGATCTACTGTTCTTATGTCTAGACAATAAAACACATAGTAGGTTACATTAATACATTTCACAAAGTTGGTCATTTGTTATTTTTACTGAGTTAGACTTATTCAATGTGACATTTTAAATACTTGAAATTGTTGTGGTTTAACAAATCAGAGTTGAGTTGAATATTTTTTGAAAACTTGACTCTTTACAAGATTTATTTTCAACAGTTTTTCATGTCCAATACATCTGTTAAAATATTACATGACAGTTACTGTTTAATTTCATATTATGAATAATATGTCCCTTAATATTTCCATAATTTCATTATGATGATCTTTGATAGTTTCCATTGAAGTATTTGTATCAGTGCAAGTTATTCAAAGACTATCATCTATTTTTATCTATTTTGAAGTCTTTGTTTCAATTCTCATAAAAATAACCAATAAAATTGTGTATTCAAACAAAAGTCTAAAGACAAATTTCATTTCAAGACTCTATCCAAAACTGTTGATCAATAATTATAAATTCTATGCAAATGTTTTGAAATATTTCAAACAGCTGTTATGCAATTCAGAAAAATGTTGAACTTTGTTTTCAATATATTGACAATCAAATTCCTTGACAAAGATCTAAACCTATAGATTTCTTAAAATACTCAATTTCAAACATTGATCTTAAACACTGGTACAATTCATACTGTAGCACTCTAGTATTTGATTATTGTTATCCAGCATTTTAGGACAAATTCCCATTTGATACCATTGGTACTGTATATAAAATATCATTTTGAAGCATATCTGTCAAACACAACAGACAAAATACCATCAACCAAGTATACCTATAATCATTTTATCATAATCAATATAATTATATATATGTACTAACTGTAATGTTTGGAATATACTCCAGAATAAAACCAATTCTCCATCATTTAAAATATCCTAGAGAGTTCACAACCTTTACACCAGACAGTATTGTCCATTCACCTTGACCTCAGATGTTTACTGATAGTTTAATAAGGATTATTGATAGGGTCCTTTCATTATATAATATTGTCTCTAACTCCCTTCACTTTCCTTCTAAATATTCATTAAATAGCCTCCAGTCACTCCAACACTTATTATCCTTAAAGTCAATAATCAATCACAAGTAAGGTTCACACAGTCAGTTAAATCTGGATAGATTATTTTGAATGGATAGTAGTTAGGTTCACACTGTAAATTGAAAATGTAAACATTACAAGTAAGGTTCATACAATCAATTTTAATCTGGATAGATCATAAGTAAGGTTCATCTGGTTAGATCAAACTGTAACTTCAACTGGATAGATCACAAGGTAGGTTCACACAGTAGGTTGAACCCTAAAAGAACACAATTTAAGTTAGGTTCATACAGTCTGAATAGATCAAAAGTTATCATAATTTTATTGTTACAGCTCTAATCAAGTGGGAAAAATATCAAAATCATTGGATTTTAATATGGTTTAGATTTAACAAAAGTCTGTCCAAGGGATGTGTTTCATGATCTTATTCACTTGTTTTCGCCTCTTCATAATAGATTGATTCATTGATGTCTCTTTTTCAAATCTTGGTTGTCAATATGTTTTAAAACCATCAATAATAAAAGATCATCAAAGCTAATGCATTTGATCATTTTTACTGAGTGAATCCATTTAATGGTGAAAAATCTCATCAGAATTTTAAATGAAGAAGTTTTTATTTTATTCTGACTGTCACTAGTTCTCATTAAATATATATTAAGTTTGAGCTGCAGGCGTTATACAGGCCATGTGTTTCTAGGGATTAAATGAAATAGATTTGATAATGTTTTATAATAATGAGTTATCAAGCCAGGTTAACTTAGACTGAATTATTTAGACACTGTCACATACAATACACTATCACAGTAGGTTCACTGTCTACTCACTGTTTTAATACTAGGCTTTTAATATTCTAGTGATGCAATCTTTTACAAATAAAAACACATCATTAATAATGGCTTGAATAACTAGGATGATAAAGATTCTCTTTAATGAAAGGATAATTTTGCCTGTCATGTCTGATTAGAATTCCTCATAATGATATATCAGCTCTTAAGATATTAATTTGTGGTTATTAAAATGACCTTGAACTGTAAAAAAAAAATTAATGTACACACTGGCTCCTGCTTCAGAATATTTCTTAGCTTGACAGGGATTCAAAACCACAGCACCTTATGCTATCAAATACAACTATTTGACTGTCACACAGTTAGAGAGTTGAAGATAAAACCTTTTTTACTTTTAGGCTGCACATACAGAATAATATCATGTAGGTAGTTGAAATGTAGGCCTACGTTTAAATTCAGGTGCAGCCCACAAGTAATTCTAGTATAGTGAAATATAATTAAATTATGTCCTATCTGGAAAGAAACAAATGGAGCTCAAGTACAGATCTGTTATAAAACAGAGTTAAATGTTTGCAGCTAAAGACCAAGCTCAGAAGGGAGCACCACAGCCTATATGGCTCCTGTACAGATTATATGAAGGGAAACTGAGTTTAATATCGGACTATTGTATCAAGATCTGTCACTCAAGTTGTAATAAGGAAACTTTGGCATGAAAGTTGAATATGGCTATGTTTTTTCAATTTGCAATGGATCTTTACCACACACAGAGCCTTAATTCATTGTCCAATCTGAACCCTTTTTTTCCTTGTCAGCCCCACTGACCTATATCACTGACAGGAGGAAACTGGTGTGAAAAATCTGAAGGTATCACCTCTACAGTACAGATTATAGACAGTGACTATAGAGACTAAAGGACTATAGAATGTTACACAGTGAATTATGTCTATTGATACATTCAATATTGAACAATCTTACTTTTCACCCCCATAACAAATAGACACAGATCTTTTACTCTTTGACTTCCTTAATATCAACAATCAACCATTCTTTTACATTCTTATCACTTTAACACTAAAATAAATTTCACTGTTTTAACTGAATTGTTTGAGTTTCACAATACCTTCATCTTTTTATTCTGAAGTAAAATGAACTCATATAATAAAGAATAACTTTTATATTTTGTGTAATATATGTAGTTTAATGGTTATGAAAATTGGACCTCCAACATTGCTCTCTTCTTTCAACATGTTTTTGATGGAAATATTTCCTGATGGATAGCAGACGGTAAATCCATGTAGAATCTACACTTGAAGCTGGATGATCAGAATGTAATTTTGAGTAATATCATTAAAATTACATATCATTTCAAAAGCTTATAAGACATCTGCATATCTTAAATATTTTGAATTATAATGATGGGGGAAATAGAATCCGATATATTTAGACTGACAGTTCGAAAAACAAATCATGTATTTCAGAATTTTGATAAGATTCATCTTTAAATAAGGAAATCCGACAAGAAATGTATGACTTTTAGTCTTGTACAGAAGAGGAAAAAGGATTATTTTATCTTGAAGAAGATTATTAGCTAAGACATGAAGAATTCTAGACTAGTATGATTAATCTAATTATTAATAATATTGATATAAGATTGCTATAGTTCACTTGATTACATCTTCTTCAACTATATCTTTCTATTCAATAATTCATATCTAGCTGCTGTATCTTAACAGACTTCACCTACAAAAGAACCTCAATCATATCTACTCAATAACATCCATCTTTGCTCATATTTGAACACTGTCATTGAAATTGAAATTTCCATGATACCCATCCATATTGACCATATACATCTTCATACCAAATCACCTTATGACCTATTTATTTTATTCACCATAAATGTAAATTATAACTTTGGATGTTCTGAATGCATTGTGAAGAAGGATTAAAAACTGCAACGTCAATGAATCATTTGAGACAAAATTAATCATCAAATTTTTGTCTAAAATTTGTTTAATTATTTCATGTTCTGACTAAAGGCCTACAAACTTCAGCCAGTTAAATGGTTCTTAATAGCTTGAAATTTAAACAGTTCCTGCTATCAAACATATATCATGATATTTTCAGAGTAAATAGTTAGCTCATCCTCAGAGGTATTCCAGTTCAGACCAATTTGTAAAAGATATCATTTCTGTTGGAAAACTAATTCATTTTCAACCCTCTGGGAACCACAGCTTCTAGCTAAATTTCATAACTTCACATTTCTAAAGTCAAAGTGGTATTACCGATAGACCAATTTACACACATACAGAGATATTGCATACTATTTGAAACTGCTTGACAATGAAAACACATATTGTTGAAATTCCACTGTCCGTTTTTTACATGTCACTAAGCTGACTATGCAGTTCATGCATTATTGTTGGCTAAAAAGTTGAACTTGATTGGATCATAATGATATTATGACCCATTAAAAGTATTGTCTCAAATCTTACCACAAGCAAAGTTTGAGATAATACTTTTACAATTTTGATATCAAAATATATATGTTGATTTTTATGATGATATAAAATGCTAGAATATCTATTTTAATGAGTTTCATGGATATAAAGATATGTTATATATCAACAGTTCATGTTTCCAGTATGTATTTATTGAATGGCAAGAAAACCAGGAATAGGATTCTAATTTCGAAAAGTGACATCAGCAATTTTAATTGTGGTATAAGCAATAATTCAAATGGCGATATGTTATTTGGTTATATAAAGGATGGTTTCAATCAAAAAATCTATTGAAGGCATCCACATTTTATCAAATGGTTTGAATTTTCTCCTGTAACAGTTTTCTAGAATGTTCCAGTAAGACTTGATATTAAATCATTAGTAAAACTGCTCTAAAGATCACCAATAGCCTGCAGAAGACAAAGGAGTCACCTATGATATTTAAGGAAATAAGATAAATACAATGTATGTATAAGAACATGGAAATCATTAGTCTAGAAAATGTCACTAGACCAATCACTGTCTTCTCGTACAATATCATTATTCTGTAAAGACAAAAATGGCGAAGTGGTATTCATGATATACTTGCTTGTCACATCCTTCCAATTTTTTTTTAATGTGAAAAATAAAAGTTGTTTTGAAAACTGTAGAGATGTCTATATAATGTACTTTTAAAGATATAAGAAAAAAAATCTAAAAAAAGAAAGATTATTTTAAGAAAAATTGAAAATATGGTTTGATTGAAAAAGATCTTTTCATCTCTCCCTCACAATTCTTGTTCACTAAATAAAACTTTCAAGTGACAAGAAGAATTAATTAAAAATCACATGTTATTAATGCTATGACAAAAAGTCAAGTCAATGGTCTTGTTTGACATCTTCTGTCACCTCATCTGTATAAATTCATCAAGATATCAATCAGAGGCCAGTGTAGAATCAGCATGTTTCAGACTAAAGAATTAGATACCAGAGTCTTAGTTCCTCAAAAATATAGTACTGGTACCAGTAGTGTTTGTGTTGACATACTTTTATAACACCTTATACAAACTGCTGATAAAACCAAGGTGACAAACAACATGCAATAACAACATGTATTTGATTGATTACATACCTGAAGCAGCTGAGTTTTGTGTTTGTTTACCAACACTAGATATATCAGGTTGATCATCATGTTGAAACCGACTCCAAGCCCATTCACTAATCCTACGACTTTCATCTATAATCCCTTGTCTCTTAATCCATTCTGTTTTATCTGGGACACGATAGATTAATCCATCTTTATCCGGGCTGTCTAAAGACGTAGCTGCATATTCAGAATTTGTTGATGGAACAGAACTAGTAAATCCAGAGGAGTCACCGGAACCAAAACTCATGCGACTATCCAATGTGGACACATGATTCTTAAAATTTTCCAGAAAATTTTCGATTCCTTGTTCTATTTTATGGGCAGGTTGTTGAGAAAAGTTGGGGAAGACTATATGAACAGGAGAAGTACTTGTATCCGAACTGGACATACTTATAAAAAACACTTAACACCGGGTAGCTACATAATTACTCCAATTGTATATGTTAAGTTTTCACATTTTTAAAGAAAGGTTCAAAGTTTAGATTTTATAATATCTAGAAAACTATGGAGGTTTACTTCTCTCCATGGCACAATATAAAATTCCTGAATTTAAGTCATAAAAATATGACAATCACATGTCTGTTCTTAAGAAAATGTTACTGAGTTTGTTTACATGGCAACCAGAATAATATCACACATGTTTCCATTAACTTTCAAACCTATAGAAATACAAAACAATACTATGACAGGAAGTCAGGGGAATGCATGAATCACCTGGATATCACAAAATCTTTTAACAATATAGCCACTTTTATAGGCTCATAAACAAGAGAACATCAGCAAGTTAAGATGCTCATAATGCGAATAAATTGATTGTAAACTAACATCGATGTACTTGCACTGATATAAACTCAAATATATGAACCAAACAAGATAAAAAGTGCAAGGTGAGATCAATAAATCTATTATCTTATAAAAAGAATGAGACTTCTTTAACAACACATTAGTCATTGTCAGATGATCAAAGACTAGAAACTATATGAGTTGCTTTTGACTGATAGATACATGTAAAAACAAAAAATAACAATATTCGATCCATGTACTAATATTCATCTCAAACAATCAAAATTCATAATCTTGACAATAATACATTCACCATTCTTAATCTAATAGTAACAGATTCACCATTCTTAATCTAATAGTAACAGATTCACCATTCTTAATCTAATAGTAACAGATTCACCATTCTTAATCTAATAGTAACAGATTCACCATTCTTAATCTAATAGTAACAGATTCACCATTCTTAATCTAATAGTAACAGATTCACCATTCTTAATCTAATAGTAACAGATTCACCAATCTTAATCTAATAGTAACAGATTCACCATTCTTAATCTAATAGTAACAGATTCACCATTCTTAATCTAATAGTAACAGATTCACCATTCTAAATCTAATAGTAACAGATTCACCATTCTAAATCTAATAGCAACAGATTCACCATTCTTAATCTAATAGTAACAGATTCACCATTCTTAATCTAATAGTAACAGATTCACCATTCTAAATCTAATAGTAACAGATTCACCATTCTAAATCTAATAGCAACAGATTCACCATTCTTAATCTAATAGTAACAGATTCACCAATCTTAATCTAATAGTAACAGATTCACCATTCTTAATCTAATAGTAACAGATTCACCATTCTTAATCTAATAGTAACAGATTCACCAATCTTAATCTAATAGTAACAGATTCACCATTCTTAATCTAATAGTAACAAATTCACCATTCTTAATCTAATAGTAACAGATTCACCAATATTAATCTAATAGTAACAGATTCACCAATCATGACAATAACATAACCATTCCTCGACACTTGAAAAAGGATAATATTTCGAAAACCGGTTCGTGTCAATTGCCATATACAGTTTCCTCCTGTTACATCCGCTGTACATTCCCTTCTAACCTCAAGTTATTTTCATTATGCTCCCCAACTACAACAACCACTGGCAAGAAGCCAGACACAGAAACACTAATCGTCAACCAAACCAATATCACGTACCCTACAACGGCCCTGTCTTCCATCAACCTCTACCACCTACCAATCGCCGGCCACCAACCAACCCATCCAGCTATATCCCACCCCATCGCCGACCTACCTACAACACAGCCTACCAATCAAGAGATAACCATCGACCTGACCAACAACAGAAACGACTACCAGCCCACTGACGCCAAGAACCCTTTGTGAAGGTGTTCTTCCAAGTTTTGCAGTGCCTCCATCATTTGGCAATCCTTACCCTTCAACAGCAAGGCCAACCAGCGTTTACCTTCAAACGCAGAGTCTCTGAGTTGGATAGTTTTATCCGTCCAGCAATGAAAACATCAGCTGTCGACGCGAATATTAGCTCCCTCAATCGGACATGGCTCTGTAAGGTTACGCAGGTCCTGATCGACCATTACCAAACCACACTTCAAGAGAAGCTGACCACCATTCGTACCAAGTCTTTATCATCACCTGCCGTCGACCGCATCGTTTCTCATGCCCTGTCCTGGGCCAATCGCTCCTATGGGAAACGTCTCACTCAAGCTGTAATCACCAAATTCTACCAAACAATCAACGAAACAAAAACCAGAGTAACCATATCTCTACCAACTGAAATGGACACTACACCTGCACCATCTAGAGCCACCACGCTGCCGAACCAAACCCCTAAACGAGCCCGAAGTTCACCTACTCCTAGTCCAGCAGACATAGGTAAACGCTCTCGTAGAGAGGGCACACCCCTTCTCTTTTCACTTTCAGACTCGTCTTCCCCTTCCATACCATCTGAATCTTCACCACGTGATCCAGGATCCGCCAACCTTTCTTCCTTCTGTGCGTTTTTGGACCAGCAAACCACCCCTCAGTCTCCATCCAAGTCGAGACGTGTATCCAGTCCTTCCCCCCCTCGAACCAGATCCCAGTCCGTTCCCAATGCTACAATTCTAACAACTACCAAACCAGTACCAATCACACCGTCGACGACCATTATATCCGCTACCAAACCGTATTATCACCAAACCAAGGACAAATCATTATGGAAGCTACCTGCTCTAAAGAAATCTACCTTAATAATTGGATCATCTAACCTGAATCGAATTACCAAAACCAGTTCAGACACCGAAATACATTCTTACCCCGGTGCCCAAATCCATCACATACAGTCAATCCTGGAATCATACGACCATGATCCCAAACCTACTACCATTAAACCTTAAAGACACAACCGATTTTGTCAATAAAATAAAAAATCTTCCAGTTCCCTCAAATGCTATTTTAATTTCTATCGACGTTTCTTCTATGTATACCAATATCGATAACACTACTGGTTTAACGGCAGTTCGTAAAGCTTTTAATAGAAACCTAGATCCAAACAGACCCGACGATGCAATTCTACAGCTTTTAGAGATATGTCTTAGTCGAAACGATTTCACATTTAATGGTAAAACATATTTACAAACTTCAGGGACAGCAATGGGCAAACGATTCGCCCCTTCGTACGCAAACCTTTTCATGGCAGAGTGGGAACGTGAGGTGTTGCCCCTCTGTCCATTTGACCCACTTTTTTACGGACGCTTTTTGGATGACATTTTTATGGTTTGGACTTATTCTATCGAACAGTTTTGGGAATTCTTTGAAATTCTCAACAACCACCATCCTTCTATCAAACTAACCGCAAACGTGAGTGACAAAAGCATAGACTTTCTCGATACCACAGTCTTTAAGGGAGATTCCATAGCAGAAACAAATAAACTGGATATTAAAGTGTATTTCAAAGAAACTGATACTCATCAACTCTTGCACAAGAGCTCCTTTCACCCAAAACATACCTTTTCTGGTATAATTAAGTCACAAGTTTTACGATTTCATCGAATTTGTACAACCAAGCCTGTACGATTGTTTTCTCAAAACTGAAAGAGCGTGGGTACTTTTTTACGAAACATAAAAAATTCCACCTTAACACAGATAGCAGCTAAAAACAGACTTCATGCCGAAGTACCTCCAGGTTTAAGAAGTGCTCCATGTTTGTCCAGTAGAAGCAAAACATGTCCTTTTATATCAGAAACTCATTATTTTGTAATCAACTCTACGAATAAAAGGTATCCGATCCAGGAACATCTAACATGTGAACATTCGAATGTAATATATTTAATTTCATGCAAGAAATGCCCCAAACAATATGTAGGAGAAACTAAGAATAATTTACGAACTCGCTTTAATGCTCATAGGTCAGACATCAAATTAAAGAAAGACAAGCCTGTTTCTAATCATTTCAACCTCGACGACCATTCAATAGACGATCTCACCCTAATCCCAATTGAGCGTATAGAAATTGACTTGCCCGAAGATGAAACTACCAAATTCCGTCAATCTAGGGAGGCCCATTGGATTGAGACATTGAATACAGCAAGACCTATAGGACTAAATATTCATCATAATGTAGGCATAGCACCCTTTGTTGTCCCGTTTAATACAACCAGCAATCGAGCAAGCAAGATAGTTCATGCCCACTATAAGAGCCTTCAAGAGAAATTCCCCCATGTCTATAAGCAGAAAATGATAGTTGCATATTCAAAAAATAAGAACTTAAATGATAATATTGTTCATAGTAAACTAAAAACAATCAGTACATAATAGATACTATACTATATTTTTTCTAATTTCAGATCAGAATAAGAACAGAAGAAAACCCAATATCAAGACCCTTAATCCTAATTTCTAAATAAAGTGTCTGCTCCACCCTAGGCCTGTACATTTGGGAGAATCAAACCCTCCCTTCCCCGAAAACTAATAGATTCACCAATCTTGACAGTAACAATAATAGATTCACCAATCTTGACAGTAACACTAATAGATTCACCAATCTTGACAGTAACAATAATAGATTCACAACACTAATAGATTCACCAATCTTGACAGTAACAATAATAGATTCACAACACTAATAGATTCACCAATCTTGACAGTAACACTAATAGATTCACCAATCTGGACAATAACACTAATAGATTCACAATCGGGACAATAACACTAATAGATTCACCAATCTTGACAGTAACACTTATAGATTCACCAATCTTGACAGTAACACTAATAGATTCACCAATCTTGACAGTAACACTAATAGATTCACAATCTTGACAGTAACAGATTCCACAATCTTGACAGTAACAGATTCCACAATCTTGACACTAACAGATTCATCATCTTGACACTAACAGATTCACCAATCTTGACAGTAACACTAATAGATTCACCAATCTTGACAGTTACAGATTAATCATCTTGACAGTAACAGATTCTACAATCTCAAACTAATAGTGACAGATTCACCAATCTTGACAGTAATTCTTATAGATTCACCAATCTTGACAGTAACACTTATAGATTCACC